TCAGATCAAAAAGAGCGGTTCGACAAGAAGTCCCGTATGATAAGCACGAGACTATTCAGCACGCCCATGTTAAATAGTTTGAAAATCAAACCGCTGTGCCAGACTTTGTCGAACGCTTTTGCGACGTCGAAAAAGAGAGCTCCCGTGTATAACAGTTTTGGTCGATTAAGCCCCACAAGAATGTGCTCCGTGAGGCGGTGCACCTGTTGAACGCATGAGTGATTTGTACGGAATCCGAATTGTTCATCGATGAGAATGCCCTTGGATGAGACGAAGTCTCTGAGACGTTTGTAGAGCAGACGCTCATACAGTTTGCTTAGAGAAATGAGGAGGCTAATTGGGCGGTAGCTCGTCGGATGACTTTTTGGTTTACCGGTTTTATGTATGTCGGTAACATCCGCTTCTTTCCACACCGCGGGAAAGATAAAGTTCGCCATAGCGGCATTGAAAATAGATGCCAACATCACGATGAGTTGGACGGGTAGAAGTTTAATAACGCGGTTGGATATACCGTCGGAACCGGGAGCCTTGCGAGGACGTAGGTCTTTGATCAAGTCTTTAACTTCTATCGGGGTGACGGGTGGTAACGTATCCGAGGGTGGCAAGGAGGCTCTGCGTTCTACCTCACTGTCTACATGAATAGGGTCCACGGATTGAGTGCTGGGCGTGCACTGGGTTTGCAATGTATCAGCCAGCAGCTCTGCTTTTTCGTCATCATCGAACGTCGCGAGTCGGCCTGAGGGGCCTACGAGGGGGGGCATAGTTACTACCGTATTCAGTTTGAGAATACGAGCTAAGCGGTAGTAAGACCTTTGGGAGGGCGCGAGTCCTTCTAAGAAATCAGATCATCTGGCATTTCGGACTTCGGCGATGCGAGACTTTACGTCGCGTTGTAGAGCATCGGTAGGATACCTATCGTAGGTGCGGATCGAGGCGTTCTTAGCTCTAAGGAGTTCACTAATATCGTCGGGCAATTTGAAGCGTTGAAGGAAGTCCTCCTCTACAACTTGCTTCGATGACCTATCTAATGTCGAGGTGACGTGTGACCTTAAGATGTCTAAGGCTTCAGCGGTATCCTGAGGAGACGGGGTAGAGTCCGGGCTAAATGGGAGCGATGGTGGATCAGATTCAGCCAGGTTGATGCCCAGCGTGTGCCAACCCACCACAGTCCTCGTGACGGGAACGGAATCGGGAGCGCGACCGAGCTTCATAACGACGGGACGGTGATCTGAATCTAACTCTGAAACTACTTCGATCGAGTGTACTGTAAAAAGCAAATTATTGTTTCAGTGGTATTTACGAAGCCATCAACAATGATCAGCCTGAAGACTGGTCGAAGGACGTGAATAAAACAAAAAAGGACATTGTGTCGGATTGGGATCGTGACATCCGTATTGACAACATAATGAATTCATCGTTAATAATATCCGTCACAGATTCAGATGATGAATTTAGTGACAATTCAGATGCTCCCGACTCTGATATAACTTTAGACGGATTAAATATATTTATTCTTAGCAACCTTTTAAGTAACCTTATCCTATATATCGCACATACGGTGCTATAAAGTCACTTATGCAATTTTTGTTAACACTGAACTGAGTATGAGAAAATACATTTTTAATAGTTATTAGTGAGACGAGAGACGAGAGAGATGTTTGCTTCTACTGATGTAGTTCAAAGTTGTAGTTTAATTATTATTTTATTTCTATAGTCTAGCCGAACTATGTAAGAATTATATAAAAGACTAGCGACCCGCCCTCGCTTCGCTTCGGAAACATTAAAACACACATGAAACCAAAAAAATAAAATAAAATAACATTTAAAAAAAGTAGCCTATGTTCATCAGGAACAATGTCGGCTTCTAATGGAAAAAGAATTTTTCAAATCGGTCCAGTAGTTTCGGAGCCTATTCGAAACAAACAAACAAACAAATCTTTCCTCTTTATAATATTATTAATAATTAATAATAATATAGATGTTGAATTTTCCAACGTTTCTCATGTAAAATTACATAATTTGCTTAAGTGACGTTATTGCACCCTATGTGCTATATAAATATAATTATAGACTTTTTAACAATAAAAATTGTACTACGCACAATATATGTTTTTTATTATAAAAAAAGTGTGTGTGTCCGCTCCGACGCACGACTGGAGTTTACTGGATATAAAAAATTAAACGAAACAATACGAGAAATAGTTCTATATTACGACAACACGATACACTACAGATTATTAACAAATTAACGAGACACAAAACAAACGACTAACAAATATATGAAAATACAATAATGAGAGAAACGCGCGATCAGTACGAGGCTTTGTGGCGGACTGCCGGCGCAGCAGCCCGGCGTCACCTGCGATAACGCATTTCGTGTGACATGCGCAATCAGGCGCATAACGCATTTCGTGTGACATGCTAGTACGATTTTGGTCCCCATAATTTTCATACCCCGGGCCTATATATGTAAATCGATTCTAAAGGAGTAAACTCCAAAAACATCGACTATCCATCGTAATAGTACATCCCATCACTAAATACGTCTATGGCGTTACGTTGAACACTTTGCTTAATACAACTTTTTTTAATACAACTTTTTTAAGGCAACTTTCAAGAGTGAAACGAACATGAAACGTTACTGAAACTGTCACCTGCACAATGTTGTCAGACAGCGCATATATACTAAAATAAATAAAAGTTTGAAAAAACAAAAAAAAAAAATGCTTTTATAGAAAATCCCATTAAAAAATAGAAAATAAATGTTAATAAATTTGAATTAAAAATAGTGTAAGAAAAAATGATTTTATTGTAAAAAAAGCGTGGGCTGCATGGTATCAGTAGTTATAAATATTTTATGAACAGATATGAGTAGAAGGGTTATTTTGATAATATCCTGAAAAGCACCCCACGCTTTTTTACAATAAAATCATTTTTTCTTACACTATTTTTAATTCAAATTTATTAAGATTTATTTTCTATTTTTTAGTGGGATTTTCTATAAAAGCGTATTTTTTTAGTTTTTTTTAAAACTATTATATTTATTTAATTTTTTAGTTGAATTTCAATTTTTTTAATTTTTTTAATGTTTAATTAACATCGGTCCTTAATAAGTATACCAAATTTCGAGTTAATCCGACGTTTTAAAGGGGGTCAAAATCATGTTCAAAGATTCCGTTACAAACAAACATACGTCTGAAGCTAATAAAAGCGTATTAATAATAGGCGGATTGTGTCGATGTACAATGACAGCTGTGATAGAATTATGACGATTTTAATAATTCTATCAATGAATCAAAACAAAACAAAAATGATAAAAATAATACGATTTCTTTAAAATGGCATTTATTAGGATTCATTAAGTACAACAATCAATGACGAAAAAAGTATAATAATGTATGTATTAAATGTTATAGTATTTTTAGAAGTGTTTTAAAAGTTGCATTCCAAATAATGACTCGAATAAGACTTACATAATGTTTGTGGTGGTTATAAAATTAATCTTAAACAGTTTAAAGTTTGTTACTGTAAATTTTTGCTATTTTATTTCAGAAAATCATTAACCATTATTTTTACAAAAAAACATTTGTGGCGTAACGAATCATTTAATGAATGGTAATATTTCATCTCATTAAAAATATTATTAATCAAATATTTTTTTTATATACTTAGACTAGACCTTTTTCGGTGATATTATCACTTCCATAATTGTACACAAAAAATTGCATTCACTGCCGGCGAAGACTGAACGAAAAGTCCAATTTCCGTAAAAATAATTTCCTTCGAAGTACTTCTGCGATAGGTCTTGAAGGTTTACTTTGAAAACATAATGTCCCTAAAAGAAAGTAGAAAAAAATGCACATTACTTTGTCTTTAATTATTCAACCATTAACAGAACTGTAATTTATTATTTTTCTTAAAAGGAAATGACATATTTGATTATCACTAAATTAGGTTTGAAAATAGTAATAATATATATCTATCTACATTTTTATATCTTTGTGCCTATTACTGAAAGTTGTGCTTGTGCGATTCGGGTAACTCAAGCATAATATTAGATATTTCCCCATTAATGGAAACCGCAACTGTCATACCTATAAAACGCATACTTTGCGTTGATCCTACTCAGTGGAATAAGAGAGAGAAAAGCAGAACAAGGTCGTCGAACCACCATCCATTGACTAAAAGTGTACGTATCATCGGCCAAATTATTAGGTACATCGTACATAATAATATGAAATTAGCGTTTTGTCGTACTTGACCATTTTGATCTGAAATATCTCCTCTTTGGTTAAGAATTCCAAATTCAAATTTATAAATTCATTTAGCTGGTACATTTGAGTTTTGAAAACAGTCATTCATTTGTTTTTTCCTTATTATATTTTTATTTGGCGTCGCTTATTACCTCACAATGGAAAACATGAAATATCGGTATATTTACGAGTACGAGTTCTACCGTGGCACCAGCTGCTGAAACAGCTCGAAGGATTATTGATGTGTACGGCACTGGTCTCCCAAAGGAAAGCACGGTACGTTTTTGGTTTCAACGTTTTCGTTCTGGAAATTTCGACCTTCAGAACCAACCCCGTGGAAGGTCGGAGACCAAACTGGAAAATGAAGAATTAAAGGCTATTGCGTAAGCGGATTCATCACAATGGACTTCAGAGATAGCTGCAGGCTGCAGGTAAGTGATAAAACTGTATTCATCGACTTGAAGCAAATCGGGAAAGTAAAAAAACTTGAACGATGGGTACCTCATGAATTGAGTGAATCAAACTTGCAAACATGCATCGACTGCTGTGTTACTTTGCTCAACCGACACAATAATGAAGGGATTTTAAATCGAATCATTACTTGTGATAAAAAATGAATACTGTACGATAGTCGGAAGCGTTCGTCGCAATGGTTGAACCCTGGAGACCTAGCCAAATCCTGCCCTATATGAAAAACGACTCAGAAAAAGTTACTTGTGAATGTTTGGTGGACTAGCGCCGGTGTTATTCACTATAGTTTTCTAAAATCTGGCCAAGCGATTACGGCAGATATCTATTGTCAGCAATTGCAAACCATGAAGGAAGAACTAGCTGACAAATAACTGAGACTGGTCAATCGCTCTAGGCCACTGCTGCTTCACGACAACGCAAGACCACACACTGCACAACAAACAACCACTAAGTAAGATGAGCTACAATTGGAATGTCTGCGACATCCAGCACACTCCCCGAACCTTGTTTCAACAGATTATAATTTTTTCAGGAATTTGGACAACTTCTTACAAGAAAAAATTTCAACTCCGATGCGGCAGTCCAAACCGCCTTCAAAGAGTTTATTGATTCTCGCTCCCATGGTTTTTTTAGTAAAGGGATCAATGAACTACCTATGAGATAGCAAAAGTGCATAGATAAGAACGGTGCATACTTTGATAAATTAAATATATTTTACAAAAAAAAAAGACTATATTCCTCTCGTACAAAACGCCAATTTCATATGTAAGGACCTAATATTAGATCCAAAATAATAGCAATGTAACTGTAGCAATAAAACGCAACTTTCAAATCAAACTATAAAGTTATTTATTGAAATAAAAGGTAAATGCCGCCACCCACCTCGAGCCCCACCTTTGGAATTGAGACGTATTACTGCTTCATGGCAGAAATAGGCAGTGCGGTGCTACCGACCCAGGCAGACTCACAAGACGTCCCATCACCAGTAGGACGTCTTGTCTTAAGCGGTGCAAGGGATTTACTGAATTTTTCGAATCGACGATGCGAGGCTGCCGAGCGTCATGGCTGCGACGCTCGCCAGCGACGAATCGTGGCGGCCGATGTTCGACTTTTGTGAATGCAATCTCTCGCAGAAGCAGGTAGCGTACCCTGACCGAGAGAAAAATATTTTACATAATTAATATTAAATTTATTTTTTCTTCGTACTAACCAGTTGCCGTCAAACCCTGAGCCATAAGGATTTCACCAAATTCCTTGGCCACTAAGTATTCCAGGCCCTTTCGTATGCTGGTTTGGAGATTTGTGAGGAATACGTCTTAGCTACTCTACACGCTCCGTGAAACAGAGCAATCGGGTAACGAAGGGCCCAACTCTCTGACCGAGTCGGTATCCTGGGGATACTTGCGATACCCTCGCCTTACCTTAGCCTGTTTTGGTTCAGTTCCGTCTTTTCTAAGGCTCGTACATCGATCGTTGTGAAAATTCGACATATCATTTCCATATAAAGTCGGACGTCAGGTGTTTTCTTCTTTGCCAAAAAAATTAATAACGAGCCTAATTAAGTGAGATACAAACCTTTTTAACTGCACATTCTTTTGATAAATTAAAATAAATTTTGAATAAAGATTGAACTAGCAAGTGATCGCACGGCGTCTTCATCTGAAATCTCATCATTTCTTTGCCTTTTGAAGTTGCAACAATCCGACCCTAGAATATTGTTTATTTATTTATTGTTTAAAAAATAATACTTTTTCCAACGAAATAAATTTTCTAGAATATAGTAATTTCTTAAATTTCTTCTTACATTCATTAAAGATCTTTCTTACATTCATTAAAGACAGTTAAGTTCAGAAAATTTAAATTAAATTTAAATTAATTAAATTAAAATTAAATTTAAATTTTCACTATTTTAAAATGACCAGAAATACAGAATTTCTAGTTTTTAAATTGTAAACCAATACCACCAATCACTTAAAGACATTAGGTAGAGTTTCGATTAAAATCAGTAGCGTATATTTGTTTACGACAGCAACAGATATCGTTGTTGTAATTGGCAGTTAATTACTCGTGGTAGAGCGTGTTAGTGGTAGAGCCACACGGATCGGTACTGTATTCTTACCTATTTCTACCGCGAAGCAATCAGGTGTCTGTTTACCATCAACTTGCCCCTCCTTGCTCTCTCAATTCGAGACATTAGTGTACTATATTTCACTGACGAAACATCATTCAGTTAGCGGATCGGTGTATTCCCAACCGGAAAACCCCTCTTGAGTAGCGACATCGAAGCACTGCTCGGCATGGGGAACGCGGTGATTCTGCTTGGGTTGGTACCACTGGGTAGAACTGTCCAAAAATGATAAATCGTAATGTAAGACGCCTACGTCTCGACGCGTTCATTGACGATCGCGCCTTCGAAATCGTTGGCCGTCCAACCTCGACTCACTTCCTTTAACATATTGTTTATGTTCTGAGCACCATCGCTCTGGCACTGCTTAGGTTCGTAACGAGTTCGAAGTAATTTTAGGCGTCAATTCCGATTACCGACCTGTCGTCGTGTAGTTTGGTCGTCCTTACATCCCAGACCCAGTAACGAGGACCATGGTGGATTGGCAGAAGCCTCTCTAGTAATTCTTTTTAAAGCCGAACTTTTCCTCGTCTATGACAATCGTCGATTCCATAGAAATCTTGACAAATCACTTGTCCACAGCCATAAGCAATCTGACACACTAAGTCATTATGGAGGACTTCTACCACTGCATCAGACTCTACCCCGAGCTCAAGAAACTCCTAAGAGTTAGGACCGCGTCAACCCGGACTAACGATCGTTTTCCCACCGCGTCAAACCGGATCCGACTACGTCGTTTGCAGCGGGACGTCAAATCTCACTTAGACGAAGCCCGTACACAAGGTGGTAAAATTATTTAGAAGGACTCTCGTCCTCTCACCGAGTGTACTGGCGTCTAGCTATAACTCTCAAATCGGAAACCGCTGATATACCCCCTCGTACGCCCTTCAGGTCTACCCCCGGCTTACGATGACGATGACAAGCTAGAGTTACTGGCACGAACCACTAGGTCAGTGGTTCCGGAAGTAGCGCAAACGAAATCAACCTCACGATAAGCACAGCTGCGCTCTTCAAAAGGTCACCCTCCCGTCACGACTGCTAGTATCTCATCCAAAATTAGGCGTGGTAACTTCATCTAAATCTTTGGCATCTAGACACCACCTTCGACAGAGTGATGACCTTCGGTCTTTACATTAGGACGGCACGTGACCGAGCCACGTTCCTATTTGCTTGACTCTATCCAATGATTTGCAAGCGAAGTAAATTATCCCCTCGTAGCAAGATGATACTCTAATACGTTCCGTCATGACCTATGCAAGTGTAGAATTCACTCACGCGGTCCGTTTCCTCAGAAACTCTTCCCAGGTCATCAAATCTCATTTTTGCAGGGTAGCCGTCGCAGCACCGCCGTACGTGAAAAATGTCGATATCACGACGACTTCAATTTCGAACTGACATGTAAGTACCTAAAGCGTCAGAACGGCTCTTCGATAAAGCGGCGCGACGTAACAAACCTCTAATCGTCGCCAGCTAATTACATATCTGACTTTGGTGACTGCTAACGAAAGTCACCGCCGCCCGAAACATGCCTAGTCAGATTCCCGGATCCACTCTCGGTGGCTCTTCAAGCACCGGTCACCGTCATACTCGTCGATTATGGTGAAGAGTTCGACGACAAAACTAACCCTTAGACACAGCCTACTGAGTTTCTCGCGATTATAACCCAGTGGTACATTCTGCGAAGCACTGCTCTTGCTAAGGCCATTGTTAGCCAGACGTAGTATAGCTGAAATAGCTCCTTAGGCTACCAGTGAATAAGTTGGAAAAAAAAGTCAGGCGTTTTCGTTTTAAGGCTAAGAAATCCGCAACACGATTGAGCCTTCAACCAAATGTTTCCTAGTGTGTGGTAGCATTCATTTTGTGATATCTTTGTTCATCTATAATTTAGTATCACAAAAAAAAGGGGCTAAAATAGTCAAAGTCAAAAATACCTTATTACTCGTACTTTTAAAAGAGTTGACATTAATCGACTATGTAAACTATTTATTCAAAAGAATTCACTCACAGTTGTGAGTTTGATGTATGATTTGACCAAAAGATCATATGTGATCAAGATTCCGTTGTTCAAATCAAGTTCCACGTCGGAGCAATCTCTTCTTCTTGGTCCTTTACATTTCTCGAAACGACTTACGGCGACTGAAACGGGTCCCTGAAACAAATATCTGTAAACGTTTTATTATAAAATTATATCTCTGATTCGGTTTACGAGCTTTATAAAGCTTGGGCCCGAATGCAGGCGTAAACAGTGAATAGATTGAAACGAAACAAATTCTAAGCTTTGCACAAAACTTTATTGAAAATTAAGTACATTAATTGATCTTTTCACTAATTGTTTAATTTAAAGTGACTATTGACAAATGAATACAAACAGAGACAATAGGCTTAGTTTTTATTTATAAATGCACTTTTACTGATGATAATACAATCATTTCTATTACTTTGACCAAGAGCGACCAGATCAAGAGATCTGGATATTAGAAGGCCAAATTATTGAATATCATTAGTTAAATTAAGCTTTGATAATTAAAATATATCAAGGTAGTAAAAATAAATACTTTTAGTTCGTTTTTAAAGGATATTTCTTGCTTTCATATTAGATATATATTTTTGTGTAGCAAAAATAGTAATTAATTTTTTTTTTTATTACCCTTGTAGGCAGACGAGCATACGGCCCACCTGATGGTGAGTGGTTACCATCGCCCATGGACTTCAGCAATGCCAGGGGCAGAGCCAAGCCGCTGCCTACCGTTTAATACTCTCCACAAGCCTCGTTTGAAGAAGGACATGTCATATAACATAAATAAATAGAATCAAAATAAAATAAACAATAGTTTAAAAAACTAACAAAATACGCTTTTATAGAAAATCCAACTAAAAATATATAGTTATATATAATATATACCTAGTCTTGCCATAAATACTGAGACAAAAGAAAAAAAATATTCTATTGTAAATAACATTTACTACTTTTACAGTGTGTTAGTTTAATACATAAATACAAAACAATTTAAAGTATAAAAAGCTTATTCGAAGTGGTCTCCATTGGCTGCAATACAGTCCTTTAAACGTTGAGGCCAGTTATCAATAGAAGCACGCACTCTTTCCATGGAAAAATTTTTCACTGCCAATCGTACCGGATTGTTTTAGGGACTCCAAATTATCATGGCGTTTAGAGCAAGCCGTACTCTCTAACACTGACCATAAATCATAATCCAGCGGATTAAGATCGGGACTAGACGACGACCAGTCTTCAGCTCTGATGAAGTCCGAAACGTTCATTTCCAATCAAGACTGCGTAGACCGAGCTTTATGATCTGGCGCCGAGTCTTGCTGGAAGGACCATTCTTGATTATTGAACGTGGTATTGTTAAGGGGCTTCACTACCTTCTCAAGAATAGTATCTTGATACACTTGTGCCGATGTTTTGATACCTTTTTCACAAAAGTATGGCTCAGTCACTCCTTCATAGCTAATACCCCACCAAACCATCACTGAAGTCGGATAGTGCCCACGTTGCACTCTGTCGACTAATTGGGAAGCTTCCTTAGAGCTTTGAGCATAAATAAGGTCATTTTGTTTGTTAAAATGTTGCTCAATTGTAAAAATTTTCTCATCCGTAAACAAAATTTTTCTATGAACTCCCTTTGCGTACCGCTTCAGTAGTTGTTTCGATTTTACCACCCTATTCTCTTTTCAATTATCAGTTAAGAAATGACCAGTACGTCTCTTATAGGCTGCAAGTCTGAAGTCATCTTTTAAAATACGCGACATGGTTCTAGGCGCTATCTTCATCTCCCGAGATAAAATCATTTGGTTCCGGACAGGATTTCTTCGAATTCTTTCCCTTACTGCTTTGACCACCTTTTTCGTACGAACACTACGTGGACGGCCAGATCTTTTTCTGTCACAAAAAGAGGATGTCTCATTGCACCTATTAATAGCCCAGTACACAAACATTTTACTAATACCAAGCGTATGGAGAGTTTTAAAATTGCATTTGGCTCCATACCTACTTTGTGTAATGCAATCATAGCGATTCGGCTCTCTTTATCACCCCACTCCATTTTAATATCGCAAAATATTGTACAATGTATTGGCGCCAAAATGAGAAAACTCAATGAGCAATCATATAAAAATGACAGATTCCAAATTCAAATGTAATCTTTTGTTTATTTTTAATTGTAACAGTATTTATGACCAGACTTAGTATATAGACAAATACAATAAAATAAAATATTTATAACAATTTATAAAAATATTTATAACTGCTGATACCATGCACCCCACGCTTTTTTTTACAATAAAATCATTTTTTCTTACACTATTTTTAATTCAAATTTATATTCTATTTTTTAGTTGGATTTTCTATAAAAGCGTATTTTGTTATGTTTTTTAAACGATTTTTTATTTTTAATTTTTTAGTTGAATTTCAATATTTATTTTATTTATTTTTTTCAAATTTTTTTAATATACAATTGTTATCGGTCCTTGATAAGTATACCAAATTTCCAGTTAATCCCACGTATTGAAGGGGGTCAAAATCATGTTCAAAGATTCCGTTAGAAAGATTCATACGTCTGAAGCTAATAATAAAAGCGTATTAATAAGTGGGATAATTAAATAACAGTTTGATTGTTTTTTTTTTTAAACGTATAAAGTAAAGATTTTTTTGCAGAAAAAAAAGCAAACTCACGTAATCAGGTTTTGGGTTTATCGATGACAAGACAGAGATAATAATAATAATAAATGTTAAACTCCAAATATGCTGCATAATGTTCATTGCAGCTAAAATCTAGAGTAAAAGTTCCAATATTGAAAGGCTTGTGTCTATTTCAAATGATAGACATACTCTAGTTAGTCGGTGTTCTTGAACAAAAATCAATGCATTCAATCAAATATTCCTTAATTTTCTCACTTTTCTGCTAATTTTCTGATCGTTTATTTATTTATCTATCGAAATTGAACCTGTAACTAACACCCACTTTGTTTTGCTCAAAACGCTATACAAAACTGAGCGTTGAATTTGATCATTATCGTTATAGCAGAGTAGAGTATACTTTATTGTACACTAAAAATCACGCTGTGAACGTAATCTTATAATAATGCAAAAGTTAATGGAGTTGCGCATTGTTAATTATTTCCTAATTTTTAAAGCTACTAATAAGGAGTTTCAAGCCACCCTTCTGTTCGAAATGAAACTATTTATGACAATCTTATGCCGGTAAGCATTACTGAGCATGGGCCGCATAGGCCGTGGCTATTACGAGGTCGTGCGGATTTCACAAATCGCTTTTTGAACTATAAACATGATCAATGAGGGTTTCATATAAGTAAAAGTTCCCTTTTCTACGTGGATTTCAAATTACATATCATGTTTGATTTTGGCATAAGCTGACCAGCTTGAGATAGTAAATCCTGTTTTCTAATCTACGTAGCTCCTATGCGTGTGAAGTTTAGTTTCCAGGATCAAATATTCTTATGTTTTATATTTATATTTTTCGTCAAATTCGTTTTGTAAGGTTCAGTGTACCCAGGCCTCCTCTGAACGGACCAAAACAACATCATGGCCATTTACCATATACAAGTCACGCCTAGTTACTTCAGTAAGTACACAATAATGGTTCAATGGAGGTATAATGATCTAAAATGCTTGAAGGAAAGTGGTTAACAGCGAGGCATAAAAGCTTATTAGAGATATACTTAGTATTAAGCCTAATTGTCTTCTGATCGGTAATGGTAATGAAGTTATAATAAACAAATCATTTTTCTTTTTGTTTTATTTGAATAAAACGGGAAGACGAGGACAATTATATGTTAACCGGTTATAGGAGTCCACTATAACCTGAATGCCGATGCAGACAGTGATTTAAATATTGAAGTAGTAGTATAGTAGTATAGTAGTAGATCCAAGTCTGCAGTCGCTGTAGCACGTAGGTGGGCAGGATCGACCGGTGAAACACTACCCTCTCACAGAAAATCAGCGTGAAGTGGGGGCCTCCTAGAGGCCACCGCGTTTCGACTGGTGAGTGAGAGTCCCGGCGCCCTTATCCCTCTACCTCGGGGCCCAAATAGCAACTGGCACTTTCATTATACTACACGTATCGCAACAGATTTTCTAGGGACTGTTGCGTTGCGTGTGGGAATGAGTATCAGTTGGCCCCTTCCTGTCTTTTTATTCCCTGTCCCACAATTCCTCACCCTCTGTGACCTTTCTCCTTCCCTTTCCTTCCCCACCCCTTATGCTATTTTTGATTTTTGTGATGGCGACGAGTGATACAAATAAAATACCCCAGGAGGGTACCAGTCTCTTAGAGACTGGAGAATCCCTCTCTGAGCGAGAGCGAGAGATGCTATCCTCTCGCTCTGGCTCAGGCTGCCCATCGTATTCTGGGGGGGCACATCAAGCGTCGTTTATCACAGCTGCTGGGTGCAAACTGAGCCCAATAACGAGGAAGTCCCCCTCCACTTTAGCAGTGGATTTTTCTAACATCAGGGGACTTCACTCGAACTTAAATGCCGTCCACCACCATCTCGAGACGGAAAGGCCAGATTTGCTTTTCCTGACGGAGACGCAGATTTCCTCCCCAACTGACACTTCATATCTAAAGTACCCGGCCTATAGCCTGGAGCACATTTTTGTGCCACGCGCCGGCGTGTGTGTGTACATCAGGGAGGGAATTTGTTACCGTAGGCTCAGCAGTCTTGAAGGCAGAGACCTGTCGACCCTTTGGGTGCGCGTCGATTGTGAGGATCACATTCGCGTCTACGCGTGCCTTTACAGGTCTCATAGCGGAAATTCGGAAATTGACCTGTTGTTGTAGGGTAACATAATTATATATGTACTTAGCGCCATCTATCATAGGCTATAAACAATATGTGTGCCTACCTACTGTGCTAAAATATTAATAAAAGTTAGTCTGTAAAAAACTACTGTACGTGTTTTAATATGACCGGCTCTTCGAGCACCTGCAGGTGTCCACTGACAGAATACTTGAGCAGATTCCTACCGCAGAAATTGTGGTTTTGGGCGACTTTAATGCCCACCACTCTGACTGGCTTGGGTCAACACGTACTGACCATGCGGGAAGGTCTGCTCACGATTTTGCCATTGCCAATGGTCTGACGCAGATGGTACCTTCTCCCACACGCGTGCCGGATGTGGAAGACCATTCGCCTTCCTTATTGGACCTTCTGCTGACCTCTCGCCCCGAACCCATTCGGGTATGGGTCGATGCTCCTCTCGGGTCATCGGACCATTGCCTAGTTCGGAGCGTGGTGCCTCTCACCGTCTCGTCACAACCACTTCCATCTGGTAGACGACGTGTTTGGCACTACAGGTCAGCAGACTGGAACGGGATGCGCTCTTTCTTTGCATCCTACCCATGGGGGCAGATTTGCTTCAAGTCAGAGGATCCTAGCACCTGCGCTGACTCGGTTGCCGGCGTCGTGCTGCAGGGCATGGAATT